GGCTATCCCTTCTTTTCTTTTGGCATGATCCATATGAAACAAAAATGTGCAAACGCGCAACTTTCACAAATGACACTATTTTTAAAAGTACTAGGGGTTCTTATGTTCTTGATTCCCCATGTGTCCTATTATTCTATCGGCTGGTCATGGGTCTCAGAAAATACATAAGTTGATAAAGTTTATTTCATGATATTAATCGAAGGCATAATGATTTTATGACATTCCGAGAGATCTTTTTGACTTACTTCTCATGCATTGCATTCATTTATACATGTACATTGATCCATGATCAAATGGTATTATATACGCGTATATTATATGTATATGGAGTATGGGAAAAGGTTATGGTGTTATATACGCATCACCACCTGATCAGCTAGTATACGTTGATGTTTTCGCCCAAAGAGGCCGAGATGATATGATGGGATGCCCTCAGAGGCTTGATGATGTTATGAACTTATATACCTATGCATGGTATGACATTTACACGTATATGTATGATATTATAAATGTTTCACGATTCATAGAGATATTCAGACTTACATGTTGAGTTCTTTACCACATGTTTCTTTCATGCCTTACATACTCGGTACTTTATTTGTACTAACGTCTATTTAACCTGGGGATGCTGCGTTTCATGCCCGCAGATCCCGATAGACAGATTGATAGTCCTCCTAGTAGGCTATCAGCTCAGCGAAAGGTGTTGGTGCACTCCACTTGCTCCAGAGTTACCTATTTGGTCAGTATGATTTGGACATATATTGATTGGTATAGCGGGGCCCTGTCCCGATCTTTATGATGTTTATGTACTCTTAGAGGCGTGTATACATATGTCATGTATATGGATACTTGTATGGTTTTATCGGCCTATATTTTGAATGTACAGATGATCATGCCGGCCTTATATGCCCGTATGTCATGTGTATAAGTTTCTATATCATGTTCGGTCGTCCTATGTCTAGTATTCCCTTATGTTTTATTCCAGTTATCTCATGATGGCCACTTACCTATGATGGTGTGATAAGAAAGATATGTTACGTTGATACTCGGTTGAGTAAGGCACCGGGTGCCCGTCGCGACCCTCCGATTTTGAATGTACAACATAAAAGAGTGTCGTGAGATCGTGGTTCATGGGGCGGAAGGTCTGGGATAGACACTGCCTATCCTAGATGTGTGAAGACCTATGGTTTCCCTGTAGCAACAATAGCTCTCGAGATGCAGGTTCAGGATGCACAGGGGAAGCTCCATGACGATGTCTGTAAATTGAAAAATATTAATTTAGGTATTTTTCTGATTAATTGTTTAACATCTTTAAATATATTGCAATATCTTTTATATTAATATTTAATCGATAATTTTTCTATATTATTACTTATGTTGATACACTTTCTATATTATTATTATTTTATATGTTAGTTTCTTACATTTTTTGACTAAAATTCGGCAGGGTTTTTATTTGAACTATCATCTTTTTCAGCTATTTTGGGTATAATATAATTAAATACTTAATTTTTATAACTATACATGATATAATTAATAAGTATTCATATAAAAATACTTAGTTTGACAAATTTTTTATATTGTTACTTTATATGTTATTTTCTTATATTGTTTTCACTAAAATTCGAGAGGATTTTTGTTTGAACTATCATCTTGTTTTCCAAATATTTTGGGGGTTAACAGAGAATTAAATAATTAATTTTAATAATTAAAAAGATATTTTAGTAATTATTCATATAACAAATACTTGGGTTGATAAATTTCCTATATTAATATTTCATATGTTAGTTTCCTACTTTTTTTTAACTAAAATTCTACATGGTTTTGTTTAAACTATCATCTTTTTAAGGTTATTTTTGAATTATAACAGAATTAAATATTAAAATTTCATAAGTAATCAAGATATATTCAATAATTATTCATATAAAAAATACTACAAACTTAATAGTAAATAATATTGAATTTATTTCATTCGTAACGATTTGTTTGTTAACTGTTATTTTGACCAAATTTTTCGGCAACGTCTCTTTTGTAACGTCAACTGATTATTTTATGATTCATATATAATATTTGATAATTATCTACTAATACATTAAATCCATAATTGAGTACTCAATTCGAATTTGTTAAGGAGAGCACGAAAGTTTTATTCTACAGAACGAAATCTTAAAGAGCACTAAAGTAACACTATTCTAAATGGCCATAAACAAAGTCAACTACCATAAGTTAAAATTTATTATCAATTTTACTATACTAAAGAGCATTACATAACAATTAAGGGCACAATATAACACTAAAGGGTACAACATAACACTAAAGGGCACTAAACAACAATAAAGTCACATATTAATATACGTACAATAATAAAATCACATATAACAACAATATATATTTTTACTAATTTTTTAGCACATAGATAAACTAATCCGGATAAAAAATAAAAAATTAATTAAATCACAACACGATCACACAAAAAAACATACAACACATTAAATAACAACTAATAAGCATTTTATGTACATGAGTGTTACCAAAAGTAAGTCAGAATATCTCGATTTAAAATTTTTTGAAATGTGAAAATTTGATGATTTGGAAGCCGAAACGAGCANCATGTAATTCATGCGCTATATTTTAACGGACAAATGCGTTGTTAAGATATAGCACATTGAAAAAATAGGTTATATATAAATTGGTCATTAATTCTTTTTTTAATCTATTTTTGTGCTTTGAATCAAAAAAATAATATTTTTGTTCCAGACTCACACAGACATATAACGAAATATTCTGATGATAGAAATCTGCAGGCATAAGAGTGTCCGTACTCTGGAATCATCTTTCTTGTCACGAAATGCCAAATTATATACTATTGAATCATCTGTCTTGTCACGAAATGCCAAATTATATACTATTTCTCATGTATACTTGTTGGGAGTGAAACGGAGAATAATCTACATGTCATTAACTAAAATTGCTTGTAAAGTAACATACTTTAGTTAAAGCTCCATAGATATGTACAACAATAACAACAAATTACATTCAATTCCTTGGTATATAATAAGTGCTTAAATTATACTCCGTACGAGTAATAATTTTTGGAGTGCGATAGTGATGGGACAATCAAGAATGGCGGAGATAAGATTTTCTTCTGTAGGTTCATAAATTAATAATCTAAGACTGCTAACTAGACAGGTTAACAGACGTCAATTGTAATATATAATAGTAGAGAATAGTATTAAATAGTGCTGACTTGACAAATCAATTAACGCAAGCTCATAAGAGATAGATATATAAAAATAACTGATGGCGAATGAGATAATTGTACTATGATTCGATCACAAAAAAAATTGCTCTGGCTTTATTATTAATCATATACGAAGTACGTATCCTTCAAGTTTATTTTGGGAATTCCAGAAATCAAGATTGTGACCGATATAGCAAGCGTTTGGACATATAGATTTAATTGAAATTGAGTTTTTAAAGTTGTGTTGAAAAAAATATTTTTTGAAGTTGAAATTGTATTTGAACATGTATTTTATTTGAAAAAAAAAGTTAAAATTTTGTGAGTGGAAGAAAAATTTTCACCCAAAAACTGTCCCAAACTAATTTTTGAGAACTTGAAAAAAAAAAATCAATTTTTGTTTATATTTACCCGAAAAACGGATAGAGTTGAATTTGTACATAGTTCTAATGTTACGTGGTATAGCTTAATACAAATCGTAAGGATAAATAGAAATATCAAATACAGATTGCAAAGAATGCAAAATAAACGAGGTTGGAAAGAAGATGACTTTTGAGACTAAGCAAGATGAATCAATTTATGAAGTTTAAAAGAATAATTCTTCAATATAGGAGTATATGGTGCTTGAGTTACTATGTAAGCAAAAAAAGTTGTCCTTTACATAAATGTAGTCATCCTCTTTATAGTGAAGGATCCTACTTTTAGATATAATTAAAAATACATAATGGGAGACTCATGACAAATCAGGTTTTCCATAATTCATGCTAGGATTCTCTCCTCTAGTGGGATTGCAACGGCTCTTGTTTGTGAGCTCGATATTGACTCGAGTTTTTGGTCTTGACTCGAGCTCGATTCTGACTCGGATCTATGTATTGATTCGGGGTCAGTGTTGGTCGGTCTCTGAATCATAAGCTCGATAACTTTACTTTGCATCATAGTTCGACTTGGATTCGAGCTTAATAATAACATCGAGCTCGATATTGATCGGTCCTTCAGGCTCGAAGCTTGGTGACCTGACTTCGGACCTCAACCTGAAACTATGAAGACGCTTCTCCGATCCGATGTATTACCATTTAAACCAGTTCGTACGGAGGACTAAACGGTTTTTACCGTATACGGTTTAAAAACTGATCATATATCATGAAAGAAATAGCATTTTCAATTTTTGTTCCAAAACAAGCTGCCATAATAATTTGTTTAATTGATGATATACGCACGAATAAGTATCTTCCCAACCCCACAAAAAATTAATACTAGAATCTTTCAGTAAAGGAGCGACCAACTAGCAAGTGGAAAGGTTAGTCCCTTATTATATTCCAGATTATAGTACAACCAAGATTTTAATTAGTTTATATATCACATTAGGTAGGTAATGGTTTAACAGCAAGGTTTTGATATTATTAGTAAACTGTAAACCTCATCCTGAAGCTTTAGCCTTTTGAATTCAGATTACTTTGACAGCAACCCCCAACAATCACTTGCATTAGCAGACATTATCCAATAACAAGATAAATATCTTCATAATAATTGGACCTAACCTTTTCAACATCATTTGTAAATCAAGTGAGAATGAAGATTCAGGGTGGTAATCCATATGAATGACCACGGATCGAATCCCCGCTCAATGCTTTCTGGGTTGAGTGCCTAGTACGGTTTACATCCCCTTTGTGATTTACAAGCTATTACATAGGGGAAGTTTACTCAATGCTCATCCGAAGGAAAGAGACTGCGACAGAGTTTGTAGCGGCCAAAAAAAAAAAAATCGAGTTTGGCCTAATAACTAGGAAATCATACTCCGCATGCTAAGTTTCTAATTAACCCTTCAAGTCAACTAGTCAAGGGGGAAAAAAGGAGGTTGCTTCAACGAGATAAAAACATACTACTCTCGAAAAGCTACCAAACATAGTGCACAAAACTCTCTTTGAGGGAAGAAACAGCAATATATCCTTCAAAAATGGAAAAGGTGTCTCCATTTTCATTCTTGCTCTATCTATATATACGTGAAAAAGGACACATGTTACTAAATTGCTTATCGTTTCGTCTCCCACATCAAACATCAACCATTTGCAGTAGACTTGTAGTGATACTCGTCTATTGTGGAGTAAACTAGACCTTCAGACTCGAGAGATTCAATAGCTTCTCTGTCATACAGAAACCATATGGAAAATAAGCAAAGAGCAAAAACGATTATAATGATATATAATCATGAAAGAGAACAAGAGGGGAGAGACTTACAAGATCTTCTCCGAAGGAACTTTTAGCTGTTGAGCAAGCTCATTGCGATGAACACCTTTTTCACGTGCACTGAAATAAAAAATGACGAGAGATTACTAACATAGCAAAATCATTCAATGAGCTTGGTAGTCATATTTTCAATCTATTACACAAATACCCAATACTATCAAATTTAAAAGAGAACAGCAAAATAACTGCTTATGAAACCAAATCCAGTCAAACTGTTAGATACAGTGTAAGAACCATGTTGCAATACTTTACCTATCAGTTTACATCTAAAGTAACATAGTGTGGAGTAGTAATAACTTTAGACATATGCTTTCGAAAATAACATAACCTGTGTGAAGGTTGGCTGCACAAATCCCTCTTCTCCATTCAGCCCGATGTAGAGTCAAATTCACCACAAAGATGTAATCTTTTCTTTCCAATTAATTTTTTTGATGCTAATATTCATCTTCCTTTCCTCTAATATCAATTTTTTTATTGACTGGCTCAATGCCATATATATTCAGACCATCTTATCACTATTTTGTAGTGATCTTGGAGGAAAGTTAGATGGGATTAGAAGTTAGTTACTCAGTTGAAGGTGGTTAGAACTAGTTAGTGTGCGCAAGGGACTTGACCCATTAGTTCTATAAATAACTACAGACAATAAGGGAAAGCAGGAATGGAAAATCTGATAAAATTCTAAATCTCTTTCTTTACGTTCTCTCTTCTTTCTCCTCTTTCTCTCTCTCTCGCTCTACTCTTTTCCCTTCTTTTCCTCTGTTCTTCTCCTATCTTTCTCTTATCTTTTGTGTTGTAATAAAATTGTCAAGTTTGTATTCTTGTTACTTTAGTACATTACATATTTAATGCCTGATTCAGACATTCAGTGCTACCGAAATGCAATTATCCAACATGACAACTGTAACACATTTTAAGAATAAACATCAGACTTTACATATTCTAGAATTTAGGTAATCAACCATTTGTTAACATTAAGATCAAAATTTAATCAAAACCATTTATTTGCTCAAGGCTTATATGCAATGCACTTTACAAATTTTCAAGATACCCTCCACCTGATAGTCTGATACAATCTAGCAAAAGAAGTACGAAGCGGATCACTCAGACCGCAAATTATATCCACTTGTTAACGCCGCAATTGAGAAAGGAACAACTGTAGACTACCAGAGCAGCAAGCGTCTCTGCGAATTTCTAACACAAAGGCAGGAAGAGATGTTCCTCAAACAATCCAAATTTAGTCTCTTGATGAAAGTTCCCATTTATACTACAATGGAATACCTAAAGGCATGCTCATGCCTGAGTTTAGATAAATAACATACGAGTACATTTAGATCCTTTAAATGACTTAATAATGGAGATCATCATCATATTGCTAATAATTAATATATTCCCTAAGTTGCCCCATCTTGCAGAGTTCCTATCCGGTGTTAGTAGTAACAAAGCCTTCATCTACTTTTCATTTTTATAAAGAGAGACATTACGAATTTGACCAAAGTTCAACCATTCATGATACATCCCGAAGTCAAAAATCTATTATACTCCTCTCCCATCTTCCTCTATTCCAGAGCGACAGCCTAAATCCTCCTATTTACCTCTTCTTCTTTTTTTAATAACTGAGAAGCCTTGAGAGCCAGTGCGGTTCGAAACTCGATAGATAATGGGCTCGCTCCTCTACTATTCTCCACTTAACTACCAGGCTTTGTCTATGGTAGGGTTCGGACCCGACGTAATTCACACACTACCCGTTGCGCTCTTACTACTAAGTTGATAAGATTTCTTTCAGGAGTTGGTAGCATGAGTTTTTACAGAAATACATCTAGTTTTATGGAGCACACAGTTGGATAAGATTACGCATTTCATAGCATCAAATAAGATCCTAAAAACTGGAATCAACCTGAGAGGAAAGGTCCCAAACAAACCATCTGCGTGTCCTGCCTGGAAAACCATCTATTTTAACATTTATTAACCAAAGGGCAGCAAGTTCAGTGGGTGTTCTTTTCTTTTTCCCTTTTTGAAAAGTTAGTCCACTGGATGGTCATAACTGGCCTGCATTTTTCCTGGCTTTGCATTAGCTCTAACAAAAGTTATAACATCGGTTACTCAAATGATGGCAGAGATGTTGACAATTACTATCACAAGAAAGCAACCCCCTTCTCCAAAGGCGACCCTCTTGAATTTTCGGTTGTTTCCTAGATGGAAAAGCCCTGGCTTATAAATAGGACAATGAGGAGACAAGGGGTGAAGGATATTCAACTTAAAAGTGAATTTGTGGTGTGAAGAGTGCATTATGACCCATTATCTATTGATAGGCGAGAACAGACCGTTATTGACTGCTTCCCCAATCTATTCTATTAGCCCTACATCCCTTTTTTTGTTTTGGCCATTTTTGTTACGCATTGAACCCCACTTAGGTGCTGACCGAGCAAAAAAGCAAGGCACGAGATATAGGAGAAGTACCCGACCTTGCAAAGAACCCACTCGCTATTTTGTTATCAAGTCTTCTCTAAAGCAAGTGAACAATTTGAAAGTTATTTCACGGAGTAACACTCGTATATTTCTTTCTTTGACATCTGACAGAACAGGAGTATCCGACAAAATCAGCCGCCAAAAAAAAAACAAAAAAAAAACTTCGACATGTAATAATCTGCCTTCATTTGTACTGCTGTGATTGCCATGGTATTTGCACTAGAAAGAAGCAAACACTGAAAAATGCATCCCCAGTGAGAAAACTTTTTGGAGATTCAAATGACTTACAGGCATGACGGTTGTTGCAAGTAGTCCAATACCATTTTATCTACACCCCTGATCCCGTCCATGTTGTATCCAGGAAACTGAAACTTAAAAGAAAATTACTAAATCACTGGTTATAGTGAAAATGTGAAAAAAAACTGAAAATGAACATTAGAATTAACTACGCCAATTAAAAGAAAGAGCAAACGTAATTAGAGATACTTGAGTCGACAGTGAAGCTTGATATCCCTTTAAAGGAGTGTTGGCCGCTGAGCTAGGCACTTGAGCTGACATAGACGAACTATCCTGTTGCCTCTGGAGGGGCAAAGGAAATACAACTCTAATCAGAATCTTATGTACATCATATTCTGTTTTAGCTTAACACATGCGAGGCAGTTTGCTAAATACCCGTAGCTTACTGTTGTAGCTATGAACATAAATGACCTCTGCAAAGTGGCTTGCAATCTCATTGTAGTCATCCACAGGCCTAAAACCACAAAGATAAGAACTTAGGATCTTTACCACCAACTCGTCAAAGAAGATACAGAGGGAACAGGAGAAGGGGGTCATCTTCTAACCTCCCAAGAGACCATATGAGTAGAAATAACAACTCTCATGAAATTTTTACATGCTTCATGCCCTAGCCATTCATGCACTAATATATAAGGACAGGTGTGTGGTTCAATCCATATACATGCTTTTTAGTTTTATTTCATCAGAGATGTTTTTCTCGCAAACTATTTTGTCAAGTTGGAGTTTACAGAAAGTTCNATACCAATAAGAGACCCATCAGTCAGATAGAGTCCTAACCAAATTAAAGTCAGAACAGAAAAGGGAAAAAAGAAACTGACAATTACCATCGAGAACAGTCAATGCGCCCTGTTCCATCATCCACTACAAATGAAACTTCTGTAACCCTTTCCGATTTGTTGAATAAAATACCCACCACTTTCACCTACGAACACGTCAAATTCTAAATCATACATATCTTGCATAAACTTTCAACAAAACAGTAAAAGCCATGAGTATAAGAGACAACAATAACCCAGTATAATCCCACTACTGGGATCTGAGGAGGGTAGTGTGTACGCAAACCTTACCCCTACCCTGGGGTAGAGAGGCTGTTTTCGATAGACCCTCGGCTCCCTCCCTCCAAGAACTCCCCACCTTGCTCTTGGGGTGACTCGAACTCGCAACCTCTTGGTTGGAAGTGCAGGGTGCTCACCACTAGAGCAACCCAATCTTATACATGAGTATAAGAGAGACTTACATTATTCACGTCAACCCCATCAATGAGAAAGTTTGTCTTATCATCACTTGATTGAAAGGCTTCACTAATTTGCTTGACACTTAGTGGAAGCAAAGACTGTGAATCACGATTCTGCGAATAGAGAAATAAAAAGAAAAACATGAAAGATGTTATCACCCCTGCATTTCAATTGTCCACGACCATATTAAGATGCTACATTAAGCAAGAGAATATAATATGCTTTAAAAATTCTTTTTATTTCCTTCGCGCCGAGTCAAAACCAAATACACTCTACATGCACTTATGAAATTTAAGGAACAGATAAACAAGAGAATATATTATGCTTTAGAAATTCTTGTATTTCCTTCACACCAAGTCAAAACCAATTACACTCTACATGACACTTATGAAACTTAAGGATCCAAAAGAAACTTACTCTAATTTAAAATTGAAATGTAGAACATTGACAAAGTTTCTAAAGATCAAGAAATGCATGAGTAAAGAAATACTCTTTATTTTGCAATTAGCTTGATCAGCTTTCCTTAGTCCATAGTTACTAACTAAATCTAGAAGCAACAACAACAACAACCCAGTAAAATCCCACAAGTGGGGTCTGGGGAGGGTAGAGTGTACGCAGACCTTGCCCCTACCCCAAGGGGTAGAGAGGCTGTTTCCGATAGACCCTCGGCTCAAGCAGACGAAAAAGACAATATATCAGTACCAACAGCAGAAAGCATAAAAATAATAACAGAATCAAAAGTATCAGAAAATAGATGAAAAACAATAACAGTAGCACGTAAGAAAGGCTCGGTACTATGAAAAGTGAAAGAGAAGTGTGGACACAATAATAACCACTAGCACTCTAGGACACAACCATGCCAGACTAGCCTCTCACCCGGTGTGGAGTAGCAAAGAGCTTCGCTACCCCCTATCCTACAACTCTAATGCTAGACCTCCACACTTTCCTACAAATCTAGAAGCATGTTCCAAATTTCTCTAGCAGATTTACTACTTATGTGATATTAGATGTCTGACTGATTCTTCTTCTGTATCATGTAGAATAACATCTTAGCACATTTTATGACCCCTTTTCTGACGATCTTCCAGATTTAATGTAGCTTCATGGACCACAAACAAATAGAGCTACTCTTATTGGGGCTTTTATCCTCCGCACAGCTTATCCTGGAAATCTTTCCTCCCTGTCACCATTTCTGGCCCTTCTTATTTTTTTNAAACAAATAGAGCTACTCTTATTGGGGCTTTTATCCTCCGCACAGCTTATCCTGGAAATCTTTTCTCCCTGTCACCATTTCTGGCCCTTCTTAATTTTTTTTTTTTTTGGGACAGTGGTGGTGTCAGGCCAGCTTGCGCATACCTCGACTAAATTCATAGACTACCTGCTGCCTTCCACCGGCACAAGTACTCTGTCCAGGCTTAAACATATGGGGAAAAATAACCTAGTGTTTTTGTCTCCATTGGGACCATTTCCGGCCCTTCTTCTTCTTCCTCTTCTGGCAATTGGCTCACCAATTGCATTAAGTTCGTCTTTGAATATTCAATCTAGTGTGTTAAGCACTGCCATCTTATACTCCCTCCTTCCAGAAAGAATGGCACTGCTGCTATTAGGGGAATCAAACTTTTTATTTATTTATTAAACTAGTTTAAACACCTCTAATATATTCATAACTGTAATGATTTATCATTTATGTAAATACTAAGCAAACAAACTTTTTAAAGAAATTAAACAATGGTGGACCCCAAGTTAATTCATTTTTCCCTTCACTTTCCTACATAGCCGCAAAATTATCAACCAAAAAAAAAAAGGAATTGCAAAGAAGAACTAAAATACGCTCTTAATTTTTAAGGGTTTATTCTAAAGTTATTTCCTTTATTTGTTTTGGACAAATAGACCATAGTTTGAAGTTCTATGAAAGGCATATTAGGGTAAATGAAATATTAAAGCTTTCACATTTTGTATGCCAAAAAATAAAAATAAAAACAGACCTTGGCTGGAGAGAAGGAATGATCGCCGGCGGTTTGTGTGGCCTGCGATGGCATGAAACCGCCGCCGGCAAACGCCGCGTTACCGTCGAATTGGCTGTTCCCGCCGTACATACTTCTCTCTGTGTGTGTGTGTGTGTGTTCCCGCCTTTTTAACTCTCTTTCTGAGACTTCCTCTGGAATCTTTTCGCGCTTAGCACCTGCAATGTAAGAAAACTACGATCTGGCCCTTAGGCACCAATTATTATTTAATTTAATATACGCCGAAGGGTCAAATATAAGGATGTACTTTCGAAAATAGTATAAAAATATCTCTCATTATACTATTGGGTTATATATACCCTTTCCGTCATACTTTGTAACAAATATACCCTTATTTTAAATGGAGTGCCACATGTCAGCACCAGATGAAAACAACACATTTCTTGTTTTTACCCGATTCGTTTTAAAAAACTCATCACCCGACCCGTTTTAAAATTCAGTTTTTTTAAAGCATATATTTTGTAAAAACTGGAATTTATTTTTGTAAAAACTGAAAAAAAATAAAAGAAATTTACAAAATATATATTTTTAAGTCTTTTCAGTTTTTTTAAAGCATATATTTTGTAAAAACTGGAATTTATTTTTGTAAAAACTGAAAAAAAATAAAAGAAATTTACAAAATATATATTTTTAAGTCTTTTCAGTTTTTTTAAAGTATTTTTTTTGTAAAAACTGAAGAAAAAAAAATTAAAAATGCTTTAAGAACTGAAAAATATATATTCTGTAAAAACTGAAAAAAAAAAAAAAGAAATTTGAAAAATATATATTTTTTAGTTTTTTCAGTTTTTTAAAGTATTTTTTTTGTATAAACTGAAAAAAAAAATTGCAAAATATTTTCATTTTGTTAAAACTAATGTATATGTAGTCCAGGGGAGTCTTTGTTTTTTCAATTTTTTTTTTTAAAAAAATTCAGTTTTTACAAAAATAATACTTTAAAAAAATTGAAAAGATTTAAAAATATATATTTTGCAAATTTTTTTTTTTTCAGTTTTTACAGAATATATATTTTTTAGTTTTTAAAGCATTTTTTTAAAAAATATTTTTTTTTCAGTTTTTACAAAAAGAATATTTTAAAAAAACTGAAAAGACTTAAAAATATATATTTTGCAAATTCTTTTTTTTTCAGTTTTTACAAAAAAAAAATTCAGTTTTTACAAAATATATGCTTTAAAAAAACTGAATTTTAAAACGGGTCGGGTGGTGAATTTTTTAAAATGGATCGGGTAAAAAAAAAATGTGTCGTTTTTATCTGGTGCTGACACGTGGCACTCCATCCAAAATAAGGGTATATTTGTTCCAAAGTATGACGGAAAGGGTATATATAACCCAATAGTATAATGAGGGATATTCTTAGACCATTTTCAAAAGTACAAGAGTATATTTGACTCTTTGTCGTTTAATATATGTTAAATATAACTAGTCATACTTTGACGAATATTTAAATATATTATCTATATTATGTTAATTAATATGGACAAGCGTGGGTTGCTCTAGGGTCTATCGGAAATAGTCTTTTACCCCAGAGTAGGGGTAAGGTCTGCATACACACTACCCTCCCCAGACCTCACTAGTGAGATTATACTAGGTTGTTGTTGTTGTTAATTAATATCTGATAGTAATATTGGTTAATCCTCTCGTGCCATTTTATGTAATATCCTCTTCTTTTTAGCTATCCCAAAAAATTTGTTGCATTTCTATATTGAAAATTATTTAATCTTACCCCCTTCACATAAAAGTTCACTCTTTTATGAGGAAAAAATATAAAGACATGTAAAACTCTTACCATTATTCATTTATTGCTGATAGTAAGGAACAATATTAATACTTTAAATATATCCTTAAAAAAAAAATTCAGTAAAATTCTTGTGCTCATAATTTACATGACTAATGATTTTATTTGGTATGATATTATCAGTACTTTAGTACATCATCAACAAATTTTCGAACTACATAGCAAAAAACATCTTGTGAGCACAAGAAAAAATAATTAATTAACCAAACACTAAAAACAGAAGTTTAGACAAAATATAAAGAGAACTGTAGACAAATGATCTCCACATGGATACAAGTATATAAACAAATTACAAAGCCATCAAAATATTCAGAGAACACTCGGGATGTAAGAAAAGGCACTTTAAAACAAGTAAATTACAAAATACAACTCTACATACAAACATTAAAAAACAATCAGAAGAATTTGTTGTATTGATCTGTGAGAGAACTCCTGAGATTGGAATATAGGCCATAAAGAGAGTACTGGCGAAGATTCTTCACTTCAAACCATGAATTGAAAACAGATTCATGCTTATCAGTGCCAGAAAATGTAAGTTGTATCCCCAGGCTACAATCAACATTACCACCTCTATTCTTGCAGTTGTTAGTCCTGATAGCACAATCCTGATCGTTGAGGCACACAAAGTTAGAGTTGCCTGAGCAAGACGAGCAGCCATCTCTCTTCCAATACAAGTTTTCCAGCCTACCCTTTTTGAATTCAAGTACCTATATCAAACAAGAACACCATATTCTTGTTAGACACCAAATCAAACCGATGCAACACCAAGATCTTGTATCAACAATCGCACTTACCAGAGTAAAGCTTGTTACAGTGAATGTATTATTAGCAACAAAAGCAGGCAAAGACCTAGCAGCATATTTCCGACCAGCAAATGCAACCATGTAGCCTCCATAAGAATCCTGTAGTACAGTAGAAGAAACATTGGAGGTTAGTAGATGCATATGAATAAAGAAAAACGAACTATCCCCAGGTAAGAAAATTGGAGGATGGAAATACACAACCATTACACAAGGAAGAGGTACGAATGAGCTTCATATGTTGCAGAATGCAGAAGGGTAGTGAAAGTAAAGATGCATTTTTGCATATGTTTTCTGTAACGGTTGAAAAAGAAACAGTTGTCTCTAGCTAAAAAACAGAGCCAAAACAGACTAGAGAGGAGAAGCAGCACACTAATACAAGAGTCCTTCTCACTCAGATAAGAAACAGTAAATATACCACTCCCCTTACTATGATTGCCAGTCAGTTGTTTCCGTTTCATTTATTGAATTTTCCACTCTTAAATTCCCTATTAAAATGAATTTAATTACTTAAAAACTTATATAAAGAGAAATAACGTGGTTTAAGTCACTGTTGGCTTGCCTAACGGTAACGTTGGGCGCCATCACGACCCATAGTATAAATTGGGTTGTGACAACATGGTATCAGAGCACTAGGTTCACGTAGGTCTCGCAAGTTATGAGCAGGCCTAATAGAGTCTTGCGAATCAGTGCGGAGACGTCTGTACTTATCTTCGAGAGGTTATAGGGTGTTAGGAAACTACTCCTTCTTCATCTCCTATCGTGCAGTTGATGCGGTACTAAGTATCTTTCTCTTATTCTCTCACAGATGGTGAGAACGCGCGCAGCAGATGTTCCAAACCATGAAGGAGCTGCTCCCCCTGTTTTTAGAGGCCGATGGAGGGCTCCAGCCCGTGGTAGAGGACGAGGACATCTTAGGGTTACTACAACTATTCCACCAGCAGATCCAGCAGAGGATCTTATCATTGAAGAGCAGGGCGAGGTGCCTGCAGCAGAGTCAGCCCCAGCGGATTTCATGTCCGCGCCAGGTTTCCAGGAGGTCATGGGCCGTATGCTGCGGTTCATGGATTCTATGACTCAGGCAGGTTTATTTCCAGCAGACCCAGCCACATCTCAGGCGGGAGGGGGAGTACAGACCCCTACCGCTCAAGCTCTAGGGCATGTAACTGCCGTATATCGTACCCCGGGCGCACTACCCGTGGGCGGAGATCATCCAGTTGCAGCAGCTATACCTGAGTTGGAATGTATTCCAAGATAAAAGTCGAATCTGCTAGAATGTAAAGCGTTGGAATGTATTCCACGGTATTGACATCATTAACAGATCCTTTAGTTTCTACAAGTTACAGTTTGGAAGCCCGTGATCTAGTGCATGAGTTGGTA